ATTCCCACAAGGATCCCTGTGGGATCTGTCCTAAACCGGCACTCAGACATCCCTGAGGGGTCTCGGATTGCGAGAGGGTGCAGGCCAGGCTGAGGGGACCCCCCACCCCCATGCATAAATTTTGTGCACCAGGCCTCTAGTCTATGTATATAAAATCCCACTGACTCAATGGCAGAACGACCAGAATGACCAGTCGACCAGTTGCTGTGATGCGCACTTACAAGCAGGGGCAGACACTCAGTGCGCACCCACAGTGAGAGCAGCTGCTCAGAGGGAGGGTCCACAGTCACTTGGCTGACTGGGATGAGCGGTGCTCCCACAGCGGGCTGATCCCCATAGGCCACGCCCCCACCAGTGCATGAATCCGTGCACCAGGCTTCTAGTTCTTTTATAATCTTCCTCCAGATTGACATCGGCTCATTAATCAGCTGTCTTAGGACATGATCATTTGAAAACATGTTCTGTTGAAGTGGCTGATTTAGCTTACTGTAAACTCGCTATGTCTGGCTGGGCTGGTGAGGGACTTGATGCTGAGCAGTCACCATCACTACACTTTAGTCATTTCTTGAGGGAATCAACTGTTGCTTCTGACTGGTAGTGTCATGCTACATTCCTCTGGTGCATGTGCCTCTCTGACCCATGCTTTGGCAGATCATATCTGGCTTTCATCTCTCAACCTCAGATAGCCTCTGCCCACCAATCCCTGTTCCCTAATAGTGTCATCTGGGAATGAAGTTTATAAACTTAAGTGGCTTTATCCATGGTAGCCAAACTTCTTTCTTATCTTTTGGGATTCTCAGGACTTCACAAGTTACCAAAGACTTGAGGCAATGCTTCTGTATTGATGATGGACTGCACCATTTCCCCCTCACCTTCTCCCCACAACCTCAGGAAAATCAGCAATCTCTGGGGCTTGGGGAAACGCAACTGGAGAAGTCAATTTTAGTTTTTCTTTTCTTCAGACTCCAAGGCACTTTAGAAATGATTGCCTTGGGAGGTGAGGTGAAGGGGTAATTTTAATGAAAACTCTGCTTTCCTGAAATTCACTCAACAAATATTTATTGAGCATATACTTCAATGTCAGGCACCATTCTAGGCTCTTACAACACATCAGTGCATAACATAAAAATTTGTGGAGCTTACATTCTGGAAAGTTTCTCCTGTTGCATTTCTAGTCTCTTTATATAGACTGTGTGTGTGTGTGTGTGTGTGTGTGTGTGTGTGTGTGTGTGGGTGTGTGTTGGGGGCATTATGATGTTACATTGCTGGTGGTACTGATATGGCTTCTCTGAGTCAATCCTAATGGAGAAGGGATTGGCTCTAAACCTTAGTTTGGAGAACTTATTTATTGCTTTACTAGGGGCCTGATGCACGAATTTCCTGCACAGGGGGTGGGTCCCTCAGCCCGACCTGCACCTTCTCCAATCTGGGATCCCTCAGGGGAGCCCTCTCCAATCCAGGAATTTCTGTCTGTCTTTGCAATCATATGAGCGAATTGTCTGAGACCCCAACCCAGTTTGGTTTTGTGCTCACAGAATAATAGAGGTCTTTTTTCTTTCTTTGCTCCATTGGTGGAGATTTCCTAGAACTTGCAGGGCATCTTTTAATTTTTCCTTGACACTTTGACTTTACTTATGTCTCTCACCTTTGCTTTCCCTCCATTTCTCATCCGCAACAGTAACTTGCTCCAGGCTCACTTTGCTCTAGTGTCTAGGACAACGGTTCTCAACCTGTGGGCGACCCTTTTGTCGAACGACCCTTTCACAGGTGTCGCCTAAGACCATCCTGCATATCAGATATTTACATTACGATTCATAACAGTAGCAACATTACAGTTATGAAGTAGCAACGAAAATAATTTTATGGTTGGGTCACAACATGAGGAACTGTATTCAAAGGGCCAGAAGGTTGAGAACCACTGGTCTAGGAGATCCTGCAAGGTGTCTGCCACCAGAACTACAATTTCCAGCATTCCCTGTGTTCTCTGCACTCTGGGCTTCTGCTTCCAGTCCTAGAGCTGCCACAAGAACTACGATTCCCAGAATTCCTGGTGCTCCTGGCCCTCTTGGTTTTCGCTTCAGGTCCAGGGGCTGCAGAAACAAAAAGGACTGGGGACTTCAGCCACCCTCAGGCTGGGCTTACAGGACCGGACCCTCCAGTGGTGTCCCCGGGACCCCGGCCGCTCGGCGCTGTAGGCCTGGAGTGTCTGGGGGACAGGAACGCCCTCTGCATTGCCAATGCGATGCGGCAGGTGTCCCGCCCCACCCCCGGCTGCTCTGCGCCTGCGCACATGCTCACTGCCCACAGGCCCATCATCTTTGTCGGGTTAATTTGCATACTCACTCCTGATTGGCTGTGGGTGTTGTGGAGGGATGGTCAATTTATATATTTGTCTATTATTAGTATAGATGGTCCCAGCTCTAGGCTGTAGTGACCAATTTATGGAAACTGGAAGGATTACTTGACACCCTATATTACCATGTTACATACAAGAATATGGGGCCCAGAGAACAAATATATCCCACTATCTTCTGAAATATGTCCCCCTTCCTCACCCCTACAAACTCTGGGCTGAGAACTGAGGTGGCTTGTAGTAGATAAAGGGCAGGCTGCTATATTCTCCTAGGTCTACAGAATGGAAAAACGCTAAGTTTTTTTTTTTAATTGTGTGTCTATACATGCATGTAGTAAGCACCTGAAACCATACTTTCAGTTTCAGTTTGGCTTTAGCTTTTACTGCTAAGTGCTTTATTCTTTGCATGTTTCCCAATTCAAAAATTCAAGATAAAATATTCAATTGTTGAAATTCCTCTTTTCCTACCACCAGATAATAGGGTGTTGCTTCATTGGGTATCTATAGGATGGTTCCCTCATCCAATCAGCTGTGGCCATGAGAGGAAGAGGTGGGACCCAGCCCAAATAGGGCTACTTCTTCATACTGGGGCTATGGGATGCCTCTTCCATTTTGAAGGGACTCTGAACTGACAGGGACCATGAAAATAAGTGGTCAAAATTACTAGGAGTACCCAACCCATATTTCTCAATATGAAGTTTTGATATCTTATGTTTAAAAGGAAAAAATCCTAGCTTTTGCTTCATAGAAAGAAGCTGGAGAAGATGGAGTCCCATCTCAGAACTAAATCAAGCTCTTATAAATGGTAAACTCAAGGTTTCAGAAGGTCATTGTGTGGTTGGTAAGAGGTATATGGGTCAGGAGATTCTCATTTGCTAAGCATAAAAACGTGAAATACTAACTCTGCAAATTCCTTCATAAATTTTGTAGAAGGTAGAAAAATTTTTGTGGTTTTAGTCTGTATATATGTGAGTCTGTGTGCATGCCTGTGGGACCTGCTGGAGGTGCAGCTTGACTAGTTTATTTTGTGCTACTGCTGAGGGTGAGGGGTAGAGTGGCCCTCCAGGATGCCTCAGGAAACTTTTGGAAAAGAAAATGGTTGGTGGTTTTAGAGCCACTTCCTCCTGATTGCATCTAATGAGGGAATATTGTGAGGATTCAGTGTGTTTTAAGCACTGGTTCAATCTATACCAGTTAAGGCCCTAGACTCTTGGATTCAGAGTTTTCAGCCCAAAAGTTATATATGGCCCTCAGAAGGTTTTGTTTGGTCAGCCTGGTATTTTCCTGTTGTGGTTGCTGTTGCTTTTAATTACCCATTGAAAAATCAGGTCATTTCAACCTCTACCCCCACCCAACCCCATTTCACATTTCCAGCTACTTTTGGAAATTCTGGCCCTTTAAGACTTGTGTTCTTTCATGGTGCCAGTCAGCTGAGTTGAGCACTGCTGTGCTTCTAGACCAGCCATGGCAAGTGCCTATTGATTTGTTCAGTCAGATTCCACCAGCTTTGCTCCGATGGTACTTCTCTGGCTGTATAGGCATTTAAGTTTGTGACTCCAGATTTACAGATGAGCTGAGAGTAGGCCTAAAGCAGATAGTCCTCTGGAGACGGAAAGCAAGGGATAATCATGTTGCTCCTCATTCAAATTCTGGCTCTTCAGTCTAGCTGAATGACAGCTGAAAAGTTACCTCACTGTTCTAAGTTTCAGATTCTCATCTGCAAATGCTCCCTTATAGGGTTAGTGGGGTGATGAAATGAAATTAACTTTAGTTTATTATGGAGCCTGGCACTTAGTCCTCTATGAATTGATATTAGCTATTTTTATTGATATCTTCAACATTAGTATTAATGTACCTGAGACAAAAGGGTAGCAGGAATTTAAGTATACATATATAACATTTCAAGGTAAGTTTATTTTATTCCCTTAGTAATTCTTCAAAATATTTTATCCCCCTTGCCCCAGTTATTCCCCACCCCATATCTTTAATCCTGTTGATATGAGGGCCTATTTTTATTTTCAAGTTTGATTACCTTTTCATGTATAATTCTTTTATTTCATTTTCTGTATTTTAATATTCCACCCATTATTCAAGCCTATTTTTCTAGACTTTATTAATATATATACCTAAAATATTATAAAATTTTAGAGATAAGACTAGTTGTGTTACATATATGTGAGGGTAAAAAGCTTTTAGTAAAATGACTTTTATAATTTTAAATTGAATTCATTATTTTGTCCTACTGTCTCTACTGTCACCCCCCCTCCCCCCAGGATTCCTATAGAACACCGTAATAATATCCCACAGGAGCCTCCCCTTATGTACAATTTTATTTTAAAGAAATAAGGAAAAAAGTAGTTTGTTTAATTCCTTTTTTCTTATCTAGAAAAATTAAAGTATAATTTAATGTTTCTAATAATTTGTTAGAAATTTACTTTATTAAAGCTTGATAACTGCTATAAACCTAAAACATTCTTGTTATATTGATAGACCAATCAGAAGTGCTAAAAGCAAATCTGTCATCTGTTTTTAGATGTTATGTAAATCAGTAAATCTTTCTAGGATGACGAAGAGCATACCAAAGATATTTTGGTATAGATTGAACATTATCTTCCTCAAAAGAAAGATGAATCTGAGAATCTAGCCACACTTTAAAAACGTGTCCCTTCTATTTTATTAGAAACAGGAACAGTAATTTCACCAGCAGGCAGTAATACAATACAAGTAAGTTTAACACTTCTTTGATTGCAGACATTTTAGATCCAAAGTAAGAATCCAAATGAGAAATAATAAACATCCAGTCCCTGATGATCCCTTTAAGTCGTGGCTGAAAGCTCCCGCAGGAGGAAGGGCTGCTGGTCCTCCGGCTGGCTTGGTGGCCCTCTCAGTGCTCTGAAGAACTTTGTACTTGGGCATCTTTGCTCTGCTGTGTCAGGCTGCTGGACAGGAGTTGATGCTCACGGCGCCGCTGACCAGGGCTGCTTTACTGAAGCTCACTGGGCGCCCGTCAATCACAAAGTGACGGATGCAGCCTGTGAAGGGTCTGCCGGGGGCCAAGTGTGGTGTCAGTAGAGACTCTGAAGAAAGAAAGCAATCAAAGATGGCAATTGAGGCATTCCAAGCCCAGATATTATTTCATGGTCAAAACTGCTCACATCAGGATGATTTACATGTCAAAAATGAGATACAGTTACTTACTAATATTCTTAGGGACATAATCTGCTTTTGAAGTAATATGAACATGTGGTAATTATAAAGTTTTGCTATGTTTTTCACAATAAATTTCTAAGTATGTTTTAGCCGTCTTTCAAAACAGAAATTTGCCAGTTACATGCAAAGCCTCAGCAGTGAATTTTCAGGATCTACCTGTACTTTTTGGAGTTAATTTTACCCGAGCCCCACTTATTTTGTGTGTTTTGCTGAGAAGGGGGAAGAAATTTTAGTTTCCATACTATTTTTGGACTTGGTAATGTTTCTATTTAATTGGTATCATTATTGTTCACCCTTAAGCCTCCACACTTTTTCCAAGCTCATAAAACATAATGAGAAAATAATGAATTCGAATAAACCAAGTTTTAATTTTTCTGAGCTCAGGGTTTAAGAACTATAAATAGGATAGTGATAACCAGCCTAGTCTTTGTGTGGGCGAAGGGGCCCTGCGGTATGCCAGGAGAACTTTCTTATCTTAATTAGAGATCTAGAAGAAGCCTTATGCTTATTAATTGCACAGACGAAATTAAATGTGTTGGGATGATAGAAGCAATATAATTTAAAGCAATTTAAAGAGCTTAGAAATATTATAAAATTAAAATCCATTAAGCCAAAGCTTATTATTATGTACAAAAAGCTATGTGAGCAGGAGCAGACAAAAGATGCAAAATACTTAGAAATAAGTCAGGAAGGAACATAAAACAACACAGCAAATTAAACATCAAGCTGCTAGAATAAGTTTTCTATGCAATGTAGATTAAGGATACACAGAAGCTTTGTACTAAAAATAAATAATGGAAATAGCATTTCATATCTAGCATGATAATTATAAAGTTTTAGATTTGGAAGGGGCCTGAAAGATCAACTCCCCCTTTCTCTAGATTAGTATGACTATATATATATTCTTTATGCCTGCTCAGTGTACATCATCAGAATAAAAATGAGCAAACATGAAAGACTGTAAGTCTTCTGCCCATTTTGGAGACTAGTTTTAGAACATGGATTTTGATTCTGTCCAAGCTTACCACTTTTTAGCTCATGGGAGACGTCATCTTGAGGAAATAATTCATACAGAAATTTATAGTATGCATAATTCATGACACGACTTACTATAGGTAGTGACAATAATAAAGTGCTCCAGAACCCTAAGGTAATTGATTAATAAAATCAACACATGATTTTAAGAGTGCACATTCCTCAGGCTGAAAGCCTGGCTATATACAGGATAATTCAGGATTTTCACTAAAGGAATGTAAGGTCAGATCTGTGTGTGTGTGTGTGTGTGTGTGTGTGTGCACTTGTGGACTATAGTAACAAAAATTTTTTTACTTCTAACGTTGACTTTTAAATTATCATACAGTAAAGTTGACTTATTTTGGTGTGTACTTCATTGAATTTTAATGAATTAACTTTTTATTAATAGAAATAGTGTCACCAGGGTTCCACATAGTATAGAAGAACTGGTTGGGATTCTAAGAGAATTAATTTCATATGGGGGTGTTAGTTTATGCCTAATTTCCTCTAGGTATTCTGTTTCATGCCCCAGTTTCTGATGTGATCTTGGTGGAATTAATCTTGAACAGCTTAAAATGATGTAATGAATGACATCAGCTTAAACTATAATTTTTGTTTGTTCTTACAAACAAAATTGCTTTTGTTCTAGATTTGCTGGCATGATCCCTAGAAGGAATTAAAAGCTTTGGGCTGGTGGTTAGGCACCCCCTCGCATGCTAGTTCCTGTGTGCTGGCTCATTATCTGAAATTTGCTCTTCTCCATGGCCAAGTAGCTCAGTTGGTTAGAGCATCGTCCCGATATGCCAAGGTTGCAGGTTTGATCCCTGGTCAGGGCACATATAAGAATCAACCAATGAATGCATAAACAAGTGGAACAACAAATTGATGGCTCTCTCTCTCTGTTTCTCTCTCAAAAATCAATAAAAATTAAATATAATTCACTATTCATTATGTCTCAGGCAGGCTGAATTTGTCTTCAGGTGCATCTTGCCCACCCAGTCTGTGGAGCTTACCAACTGTTGTAGTGAGGTATGATGGTGGTATGTGATGCTGAGATCAGAATCTAAAACTAACAAAAATCAAAGAGACAAATATTTGTTTGTGTGATATAGTAAGTACTTTCGGTGCAAAGTAAAGAACAAATATAACTTATATGAGGGAGGGCCATTCTTGTTTTGTCCGTCTCCCAGAACCTAGCATGGGGTTTTATAGACTCTTAATAAATGTTTGTTGTGTGTTGAATGAAGTCATGTTCCCTGGCAGCAAGGAATATACTATTTATTTCAACAACATTCTGTGGTAAATGCTGTAACAGCGGTATGCATAGCACGTTCAGAGAAAGGGGGCATGTCTATGCAAGTAGAATCTGAGCTGAGTCCTAAAGGTCAGAACGGAGTTACACTGGGGGAGGAATGGAAGAAGTTATTTCTTGAAAAGGTACTAGGGAAGGAAAAGAAGAAGAACATTTTCCAGAAACTGAGTCCCTGTGCACCTGGGCAAAGGCCTGGAGCAAACAGAGCATCATTGCACATTCAGGGAACTGTAAATCCCGGAAGGCGTGGGAAGACCCCAGAGGCAGGGTTAAGAAGGGGCCAGATGATCAAGGGCCTTGTGTGCTATGCTCAACTTGATCCTGTAGGCCCTTGGGGAATTTAAAATATTTTAAATGATATTGTAATATCTAGAAATAAAGCCATGTGAAGAAATATAAGAAATGATGTGACACATCCACTTGGTAAGTGCATGAAGTGCTGTGATGGCCTTTGCCAAGATACCCTTTCAGAATGGAAAGCAAGAGCAGGAGGAGAGGACTTGGGAATGGCAATAGGAAGGGCTAGGGACAATAAAGGAGAGGAAGGGTTGCTTTATGGGTGTCCCAAGTATTTCATCAGCAAGTTACTGCCATTGTCAATGTTGGTGTTTGAAAATTTTACATTTTACAAAGCAGAGGAGAGTTTAGTAATAATGTTGGGAATACCCAAAGTCAGATGCACAATTTACTCTGTGCTTTCTCACTCTCTTACTTAAAACATTATCTGCCGTTGTATGGGTCAGTCTAAAATAATTTAGTTAGGAGGCTAGGGAAACTCATGTTGTTTTTCCTTAATGTCCTAACCAAATTCCAGATATAAAAGTTTTGTTATCTTTTTTTTCCTTATATCCTTCTCTCCAGCTGTATAGTATTTGGTTTTTCCAAGTTATTGAAATGTGTGAAAACAAAAACATTTAATGAAAGGTCTTGGTCCCTCCATGCTGCCTCATGGGTTACCAGTCAGAGAAAGACAAGTATCACATGCTCTCACTCATATGTGGAATCTAATGAACAAAATAAACCGATGAACATACTGGACCAGAGACATAGAAACATGGAACAGACTGATTAATCTCAGAAGGAAAGGTGGGGGACTTGAGGAGTGGGGAGAGATTAACCAAAGAATTTATATGCATATATGTGTAACCCATGGACACAGAATAGTGTGGCGAAGGTGAGGGGGGGCAGGTTCAAGGTGGAGGGGTCAATGGGGGGCATATATGTGTAACCCATGGACACAGACAATAGTGTGGCGAAGGTGAGGGGGGGCAGGTTCGAGGTGGAGGGGTCAATGGGGGAAAAAAAGGAACATCTGTAATACTTTAAACAGAGTATTAAAACAGATAAAGTTAAAAAAAGAACACTAAAACAGCTGGAAAAAAATAGGTCATGGTGCCTGCTTCTGAGGTTTAAAACAAATGTGGGCTGTTCATATGTGTCCTCCTCTCACCATTCTGGATTACACACCATTCTTGGAAGATGACAGCAGCGATGTTACTGATGATGTTTACAGAATTGCAACTGGGAACCTCCCTTAGGACATGCCACTACATAGGAACAACAGAACTCCAGGTCTGCAACTTTTTGTGAAAATTGAGCCTAATCCTGGACAGGGAGAACACTGTATTCTCTTCTTTCCTACTAAGTAATGGAAGAAATTATCAGCAAACTTTTAGTCCAAGGTTCTCAGATCCTAGAGCAGTATTAGAAAATGAGTTTTCTTTGTGCTAGGGATAGTGTTTCACTGTGTGTCTGTGAGAAGGCTTTGTAAAGGGAAAAGAAAAAGATAAACAGATATGGCAGAGGGAGAGTAATATCTACTGGTTAGAGTGTTGGGGTATAGTTTTTTCAGTGTTACTTCATTATAATCCTTGTATGAGGAGTCACAGGTGTCAGTATACTTTTTCCCATGAAAGGACATCCTATCTAATTAGCCGTACATCCGCTACCCTTCCCATTGGCTAATTAGGGCGATATGCAAATTAACTTCCAGCCAAGATGGCGGCTGGCAGCCATGCACTGAAGCGAACAGGGAGGCTTGCTTGCTCCAGTGACAGTGGACTCCAACGTTCCCCGCCTGACTTGCCGGCCTCTCAGCTGCAACTCTAAGCAACTATGTTGCAAATATAGAAGCTAAACAAAACCCCAGAAACCTGC